GGGATTTTAGGTGTAAACTGCATATATTAGGACAAAATACTTCCTCCGTTCTTCAACGTTTTCAATGATTTTTCAACTGAGATTAGTTTATGACAAAAATAACCCACAAAATATGTGTCTGAAATGATTAGGATCATCTCGTTGTTTTGTAGATTGCCTCAATATAGCCATTATGACACAAGTTTACATAGAATAGACAGAATGTGGCTACCAGTGTAAGGTTGTCATAACGGTTGTAATGGAGACAATCCTCTATGCTAACCAAGTCTGATCGAATTTCACTCAAAATGTTCATTCATCAATTGGATAATCATAGGAACGGATGACGGGTGGACACCGAAGCAGAAATAAGCATCATGCCCCCTGTGAACGATGAAAGACCAAATATTAATACTACACTAACGCTTAAAACAGAAAGCAAATCAAACTTAAAACATTTGGGAAGTGAAAATTAACCTTCGATTTCGGTCAGAATACTTCGTCTTTCTGGGGTTCATCATAGAAGATGTATCGATCGATGCCTGTAATCGGTATTGATTTCCTGAAGGATTTCGACTTGTAAACAGACTCTTGTTGAAACCAGCTCTCGAATGCAGGCCGCACTATAATGATAAAAGTGGTAATCGCCGACCATGTATCTATGAACATAGTTGTGTCAAAGGACAAAAGAGATCTACACAAGTCGCTTCTAAGTGAGTACGCCGATTGGACGAGTGTATCATACGACAGCACTGATCTTAAACACAATGCGGCACCACATTTTTAAGAAAGGTCCACCAAGTGAGGCAAAACCATGGAGGTTGAGCTAAAGAAGATTAAAAATAGTCACCAGGCATCTCCGTCACACATATTTCAAAAAAGGATGGTGAGGTCTGATCATGTGGAGATTATAGAGCCCTTAGACAACAAACTACGACAGATGCCACACATCCATGACACAACTGACGGCACAGTAGGTAGGAACAACACTATAGCTCTATAAACGATATAAACCGGGGATAAGGACGTAAGAAAAATCTCGATAGTTTTATTTGATATTGCAGTGTCAGAGGCCAGCTCATCGGATAGTAGACCTTCCATTGATAATGAATAATAGGATAGATAATGAGCAATGCTTGAAGTGAGCGGTTCCTTGGTCAAACCATGCCGCCTGTCTTAAGACCAGAATGTAGCTACAGGTAAATCCCTCCACTAGGGGTAACATTAGACTCAACACATGCTGCCACAGAAATCCTTCTAACATCTCAGATACCTTATGTTAAAATGTCCCATCCAATCAGAGTCAATCAGAGCAAGCCCCTGTCAGTGCGAGCAGCTGTAAGAATATCAATAGACACCCACGAACAAAGCAGTATGGTTTTCCACAGAGTGCCTGAGCTGTTCGTTGCTAGACTGAATGAAGATCACGCACATGATATGCAACAATGGTGATGGTTATCACGTATCAAAGACCTTCATAACACTGTTGTAGATAGCGTCTGTCCTGGCTGCCTTATTCTTCACATCTCACAACTATCAAGTCGTTACATATGATGCATTTGAACTCCGGAAAACAGAAAAATCCAACTGGGGCGGTTCAGGCTTGGTACAGGACTAAGTGCGGTCTCTCTAGTCACATTGGATGCTGGATGATTCAATCTATATCAGTAATGCAACAACAAAAGCCATATAAAGCCCACATGGTTATCCATTGAACTTGATCGACAGCCTAACACAGAAAACGCGAAGACAGTGGTTACAAAAATAGACCACTGCCACAATACGAGCAAAAAGGCTGAAGCCGCCAGTTCTCACAGAGACGGAAAACCAAGTCTGATTGTAAACGGATTTCTACGGTGGCAGTTCCAATGGGTTCCAATAGGTGCACTCCTGTACTCGATTCTCCCAGTCGCAGGTCCAAACAAATCAAAAAAGGACAAAAATTCTAGGAGAAAGCGGTCTTATTTAATAAAGACATGGAAATACAAAGCATTACCTGGAATTAATGCTCCTTCCAGGATACAATTACTCCGAAGAGTATCAGAAATAACGATAGATAAGTGACGTTAAGTCCAGCGGCCACTGTATCAATCCAAATATGGCTGTAGCCATATTAAAGGTCAAATTTAAACAACATATATACAGATCAGAAGCAAACACAAAACTTCAATATAAGTACAAAATATAGAAAGAATAACAATATACAATGATAAAATCTCAAATTGGAATCAAATAAAATACCAAAAATGTCAACAGGAAAAGTCCGTCATGTCATAACAAAAATATGTAAACATGGAGGGATTTTCCAAAAAACAAAACATTCAAAAAGGATTCTACACTGATCAACATGTTTAGTAATTCGAAAACGGTTGTTTCGATAGAGGTGCAAGAGGTGACGCGGCAAACCGTCAAGTGTATCTACAACAAACTAGGGGGTCCAGGGGTAAATTGGAACAAATCAGGAATACATACTCTACGATAGATATGAAGATCACATTCCCAACTAGAACGTGGCTCTACCCCAACCTTTCAGACTGCAAAGTAAGTCCGCAACACATGACACTTCCAACATATCCCATATTCAATCTTTTTCACGAGCTAGTGTAAACCAATTGATTTCTTTGTGCTCGATTCTTGTTCTTTCGGTACCGTTCCAGGTGTTCGGTAGTGTCTAATGGATGGAGGTGTAGCCACTCAACTGTCTAATTCTAGTCAGTTGGCAGATATTCGTGTGTTTGTGTCTCGGGATTTGAATGAAACGTTTGTTTCAGAGCAGTAGAGTTTCTGGATACTAGCAGCCGTCACATTACCAAGCCGGAGATCAGTTAGTTGCAATGTGGAGAGTAATAAGGACAATAAGGATAAAGTTGTAATGCTAATATGAATAATATTTCAGAACTGAGTAATATATAGATGAATTTAGTTTGTTAATTGGTGGTGAAGATTGTGAGAGAGGACTGTAGTGTAAGCAAGGGGGAGGGGACAGAGATTATAGACGAGATAGATAGTATGACTTAGTGGTTGGCATTCAATAAAAAATAAAAAAAAACAGTTAGACAGTGCGAGATTTTGTTCATCAAATTTTTGTTTTTACAAACTCTACTCTTTCAACTAGAATTTCGATTTCAACGTACATAAATCCAGCTTCTTAATTCGACTTCTCTTCTATCCACCTGACACTGCACAACTCTTCCTTCTTTTTGCTGTACTACTTTATCTGTGTGTTATATTCTTATATTCCCATAATTTACTTTAATTTAAGTGGTCGGTATGAATTTTATCTTGACTTACTACTGTATTGACTACTTCAACATTACAGGTTAAGTAGTGCTTTAGTTATATATATACACTTGCCACACTGCTGCCTTTTTCTCCCTCTCTTCTCCTTTTCAGAACCCCATTCACGGTGGGAAATCCTTGGCGACTCTAGGGAACATGCACCCTATTTACATGACTGTCTGGATCACAGCCCGTATCAAGCGCGTTCCATATGACCTTTCCCAACAAATTCACTATTGATCTCGGCAAATCGCCAAAAGAGCCTATTATGCATCTTCCTTCCTTATTTGTACTCTACTATTGAAAATGACGCTGTATAATACTGTTTCTGTCAGTGACCTGGTGTAAATATGCAATCAGAAAATGACTGTTATACTTAATTTAACTGCTATAACTTTACAGTAATTGTGAAAGCATTTGTGACAATTTGATCTAGCCTGTAAACTGGAGTGAATCTTGTAACGTAGTTATTTGAGAATAAATATATTATTATTATTATTATTATTAATTGAGTGATCTGAAGATATGGCAATGACAACAACTAACAGGTCTCAAGATATGCATCATGAACAGCTTGTCTAAGAGGGAAATGATAATCCGTACGTGATTACGTGATTGTCAAGTCTCTTCTTAAAGCTGTCCACTGTGGGGTTGTGGTCACTTCAGCTGAGAGACCACTCCAGGTTGCGACGACTCTCAATGAGTGAACGTATGCACGGACCTGGTTATTCGCCCTTTGATGTGCAATCTTTCGGGGATTGACTCGAGGGGAGTGGTGGTGATGCATCGAGGAGATGCTCACGTTGGGATAAATTGGAGTGCCTAATATTTGGTACGCTATTGTCGGATATCCTCTGATTTCCTGTAACCCAGGCGGAATAATCCTAATCGCTGGAGTCTGTCTTCGTAAGTTTTACTTTTCAACCCAACCACCCATTTCATTGCTCGTCTCTGCATTAGATTCAAAAGATTTATGTCACTTTGCTCACTCACCAGTCTTTCAATTACCTTTAAGAGTATTGGTAGTATTGCAAGTGGTTTGTAGCAGACTGGATCTTTTCTATCTCATATGTTGAATATTGGAGAGAGAGTAGCTTGTTTCTATTCAAGTGAGGGTTGGTGTAACTTCAGTAAATCCATGAGCAGGTCACATATCAGTGGACTGAGGGCTTCTGCACACTGTCTCATGATTATAGCGCGAATATTTTAACATCCTGGCAACTTTCCTAGATGCATGGATTTTAATTTTTTAGTACTAGGTCAGGAGTTAGTCGAAAATTACTTAGGCCTCCAAGAGGTACTAGGTTGGAATAGTACTCTGAAAATGTAGGTACTTGGTTTAATTGATTGGTGAAGTTGGTGTTGAGTATCTCACCCATTTCTAAGTTGGTAAGATCTCCGCCTTTTGAACTTTTGATAAAAAACAACCTGGTTTGTAGGTTTTGTCTGCGTCATAAAAAATCCCTGTATTTTGGCAGCGTCTCCTATCAATTTGAAGTTTCTCATCGCATTTGTTTCTCAAAGCCAAGTGTGAACTACCATCAGTATCATTCAGAGAGACCTTCCACTTGAACCACACTCTCTTCTTCGTCTGTAACAAGCGTTCAGTGCCGCACCATGTTCTTCTATTTCAGGGTGTGTGGTGTGATTGAGCTACATTATCTAGGACAGCATAGTGGATGATGTCTCTCACTGTTTTCCTGTGATCATCTACTGTCAGCTTCCGTCATTTCTGTAGCCATATGGTATGTAGAAGGTTCTCTTTCATGCACGTGTAATTTGCTTTAGTGTAGCAAAGGCACAGCACGTTTTTGTTTTGCTTGATTGTTTCGTTTATGAACATGTTATGCAAGGCTGTGCCATGGTCACTACCTATTGGTGTATGGACGTGAACATCCTTGACGACAAACATTACTGATCAGTTAAACTAAGCCACACATGTTCAGAGTACTGTGCAAACCCAGTGCCACCTGATGGCTTATGGAATATACGTACCACTCCTGACTTAGAACTAAGGAAAATCCTTGCGCCCAGGAAAGTCACCAGGTTGTGACAAGATTCTCCCCATAGTCTTGAAACAAAGTGCAGAAGTTCTCTGTTCGCCGATATGTGATATGTTCAGGCATTCACTGGAGTCAAATCAACTCCTAACTGCATGGAAACAAACTAATCTCTCTTCAGTCTTCAAAGGAGGAGATAGGAAGGACCCAGACTATTACCAATACTATCAAAGGTAATGGAACGGATGGCGGACGAACAAATGAGGGAGTACATGGATAACAACAAAATGCTTAATGAAGATCATCACGGGTTTCGTAAAGGCAGGTCGTGTGCATCTAATCTTCTCATTGCATGGGACAGTTGGACATCTTGTTTGGACCGTAAAATATCGGTGCACGTAATATTTCTCGATTTTGCAAAAGCCTTTAACACAGTGCCCCATGCACGTCTAATCGCAAAGGTTGTGGAAACGGGCTTCACTGATCCACTCCTATCTTGGCTCAGAAACTACCTTGAGAAAAGAAAGTTTCGTAGCAGGGTAAATAGAGTGCACGCGACCTGGCGAGTATCCACGTCGGGAGTTTCACAGGGTACTATCTTAGGGTCAAATTCTCTTCCTGATATATATTACCGACCTGTTAGGCTCCATTAGCTCACCCTCATTGATCTACTCAGACGATGCGAAGATCTGGAGGTCCATTAGAAGCGAAGAGGATTAGACTGAGCTTCAAAAGGACCTTACATCTATTAAGAAATGGGCAGTGGAAAACGGTTTGAAACTCAACCAACCGAAGTGCCGCGTCACGTATAATCTACCTGACATCACGCAAACGACCTATACTCTCAATGTAAGTCCGCTCCCTAATGTCTCCTCGGAGAGCGATCTCTGTTTAATAACCACAGAAAGCCTCCACACCAGTCCGAACTTTATAGGGGATGCAGCCAAGGAAAATGTGACTCTTCACTTAATGCGAAGACAGCTTGGTGCTATCACCCCGAAATTATTTTTAACCATTTTTAAGAAGCACGCGCGCCCACACTTGGAGGTCCACAACGTCATCCCACCCCCTCTGCTTAAAAGAGACATAAATCTCTTGGATCGAGTGCAGAGACGAGCAATGAAATGGGTGGTTGGGTTGAAAAATAAACCCTACGACGATAGACTCTAGCTCTTGGGATTATTTCCACTGAGTTAGAGGAGAATCAGAGGCGATCTGATTATGGTGTACAGCATATTGAACACGCCAAACCATCTCAAAGTGAGCATCTTACCGATGCATCACCACCACTCCCCTCGAGTCAATCCCCGAAAGATTGCACATCAAAGGGCGAATAACCAGGTCCGTGCATACGTTCACTCATTGAGAGTCGTCGCAACCTGGAGTGGTCTCTCAGCTGAAGTGACCACAACCCCACAGTGGACAGCTTTAAGAAGAGACTTGACAATCACGTAATCACGTACGGATTATCATTTCCCTCTTAGACAAGCTGTTCATGATGCATATCTTGAGACCTGTTAGTTGTTGTCATTGCCATCTCCTCAGATCACTCAATTGATCTATCTCGTCTATAATCTCTGTTCCTTTCCCTCGTCTACACTTTGATCCTCTCGTACATCCTTTACTACCAATAAGTTGACTTGCTTATCCACTTATTTACCTTGTTCTGAAGTCTTCTTATTCACATTAGGATTTTCTTCTCATTATTTTCCATATTTTAACTAACTAATCTCCGGTCTGGTAATGTGATAGCTGCTGGTATCTAGAAACGCTGATGCCCTGAAACCAACGTAATAATTCAAATCACAGAACATACAGATACAAAAATAACTACCGAATGACTAAAGTTTATGCCGACGAGAGTTTAAAATACTATCTATTGGACACTACCAAAAACCTGGAACCGTATGTAATGAGCAAGAATCTAGCGCGAAGAAACCAATTAGTGTATACAAGCTGATTAAAAGGATATTGGATATTGGGCTGAGGGGGCAAAGTGTGAACTGTGCGTTACGAGAGCAAGAAACCTGTATGAATAAACGTTAGTCCAGAAGTATTCAAGAACTGTTGTGTAACGGTCATTCTTTTAGTGTGATATGTTTGTATAAAGTTTTAGGATCGGAAAACGCTTGTTCTTGCCAAGATGTTGGACACATTGATACACATTGTCAATTTTATCCATTCACGTGGTAGTTGGTGGCCAACATTATGTTCCTTCGCCATTTGTTCAATCAAAATCCTGGAGTCCATGTCTATCGTTGGTTTGAAATCAGAGTTTTCCAACTTCCCTTGGTAAATCCTTCTAACCCATTAGCCTAACTAAGAAGTTGGAATTTCGCCTTTCGTCCTCGATTTTGTAAAAAAGCAACCCTTTCACAAGCAGTCAAGTTGCAGGAGTTCCGCGGTAGCGGCTATACATATGCAGCCATGCGCGACCATATCGAAAGGCAGAACGGACTCACCGCCCTTGACTGTACCAGGTTATATATGATAAATTTTTCCTTTAGTAGGCAGACAGGAATCTTGCCTATCCCCTAAGTGGCGTAAGCTGACAAAAAACGTCTGAGCCTTCTGAATCTGTTCGGAGATTACATTGGATACCGGGTTCATAGAAAAAGCTTTTATTATGCTTGCTTCATCTTGAAAATATGTATACTAAATACCAGTGGAGTATTCAGCAACCTTTCTATCGCTTAGTTCAAAAGTTTGTTTCATGTGCGCTTACCTGAGTGCTATGAATCTCGGGAGTTGACTTAGTCATTATATTGGGTGGAGACGCAAATCCCGTTCTGCATACTTTGGCATTTAAGAGGTTTTACTAAGCTTCACACTAAGGTATGGATAACTTCATAGTGCGTAAATATGTACTTTGAACATATTAAATCAATATTCGTGTGCCTTACATGATTGTTTGCGAACATTTCTAGCATTTATTCCACACCGTGTTATCGAAGTACTTCTAAAAAGCCACCTGTAAAGTTTGTTTACTGTGCACAGTACATTACTGAAGAATCAAGATTATACTAGTTTATTCTTAATGCCCATCTCTTTGGTTTCCTCTCTAACTGATTCCCTTTGTTTAAAATGATAATTTTTCCCTAATAGTGAAGTATTGTTTGGCAATTAAACTAACTTGGATACTATTCCACTACGTATGTGCTCCAGCAGATGAATCTGATATTCTACTCAATGGTTCTTCAGCTGGTACAAAAAATACTACCATAAACCTTGTAAATGTAAGTAATTTTTAAACTTTATTTAGCAACATTTGTGTTAGTCATTAACTCATAAGTCCAATTTTTCTAAGTTGGAATATTTTCTCACACTCGTTTATTCAACTCCGGGAGTATGTTATAAAACAGGTAAAACAAGTTCTAATAGTCAAACCTTACAAAATCAGACGTCACAGTTAATTCCAAAGAAATGCTAACTACCAAACTTTCAAATTCTACTGATCAGTTAGCTAAATCTTTGTCACTGGAATCTACAGCAAATAAACCGATAACATCTGAACCTTACTTCCAAGAGGAAACAGATGCTGTAATCAACAATCCTGAAAAACTTGAACTAAGCGAAAGTTCTGCACATTCTGTTGATTCTCATACTGACCCAGAAGAAAATCCAAAAGACGATTTTGAGGATATTGAGTCACAGATAGATGAGGAAAATCGTTTGCTCAACGGAAAAGATTTCACCGAATCTGAATCTAAGGAGTCTATACATCAAAGTGACCGTAATAATGTAGTTCATGATGAATCACGTAAGTTCATTGATATGTGACCAACATTTTATTACTGCGAAAAAATATTGATAACGAAAGCTGTTTACTACGCTTCCTCTTGATGAAATGTTTCTAACTCACAACATCTAATACACCAACCAGTACGTGAATATGTCAGTTCTAGTGATATCATTTGAAGTTGGGTATTTCCAACAATTTTCAAACGACGATTAATTGCTTCAAACTTTTCAAACAATCTAAAAGGTTACAAACCTTTCTTAACTAAGAATGTATAACCGATAGGAAAAAAATATGACTGTTTCTCTTAAAATTCTAAGTTTTCATAAGCCACCACTCTTCTCTTCTTTTTTCCATCCTATTAACACACATGTCCCAAACATCTTAACTGATGAAGTCTCAGTACTTCATCCATTGACTTGCCATCCTTACCTAGCATTCGTTTCCTAATAACAGCATTGCTTACTCGGTTGTCCCAGGATAAACGAGCAATGCTTCGAAGACATCTATGATGGAATACCAGTAACCTACGTATATCTTCTACTCTCACTGGCCATGTTTCACATCCATAAAGTAGGATGGAGCGAACTACTGCGTAGTAGACTCGTCCTTTGGTTAGCAAACGGATATATCTTGCCTACGCCATAAATGACGCAAGTTGACAAAAGTCATATAAAAAGATCAATTACATCGTGTATTTTAATCCTATTCATTATTTTGTAATTATCTATCTGATTAATTATTTGATTTTTTTTCAATGAAAATCGATAAACTATCCAAGAATTAGTCCTAATAATAAGATTTTAATCGATTGGAAAGTGTTTAGTGAGCGAGTCCGGAAACCAGCTTGACTATGCCCACCACTAAATGTTCCATAAGGTTGCGTGATGAAAAAGGAGAACAAAATAAATCCATAGTTCAGTGGTTTATTAAAGGAGAACGTTGGCATGACAAAGGGAGCAGCAAATGGAGAAACATGGCGGCAACGCGCAGAGAAACGTTGCGCGCAAGAAGTAGTAGAAGTGTTTTTGGTACAGTTAAACACAACGAATACAATAATGTTCACATTTCAAAAATCGCATTTTCTTCGTAGAAGCGTTCCACTACAGCAGCCCCCGCCTAGAAAGGGTTTACACTTTCGATACATAGCGGCTACGTTTGACGGGGGGCTGGTCGGCCAACATTTGGTTTTAGCGCGGAAGGGTTGACGAACAGGAAGCGACCAATGAAGCTCGAGTTGTCACCGATAGTCTTCTACGTTGAACTGTACCAGTAGTAACGTGCCAGGTTTGCTGCTCGAGTTGACGTGCCAAGTTTGTCTATCGGATTGGCATGCCACACCAGCGTGGCTCGTATCCAGAGTCTGAAGATTTCTTTCGTAGGCGTTCGGACCAGATAAAGCTGCAGACGTAGGACGGAACCAGATTGAGCGGAGCCAGAAACGACCATTTCGAAACCATTCGTATACCAGATATATTCGTCACCAGAAAATCGACTGAGTGCATTGACAAGAGCGTGGGTGATCAGGCCAGCTTTCGCCAAGGTTGACTGAAGTCGACGGTACCAACAGGACAATGGTCGGAGGTATAGGCTCGGGATAAAAAAAGAAGAAAAGGGAGAAAAGTGTAGCATGCATGTAGTACGAGTGTAAAATCCTATGCCGAACCCGTGGTTGATTGGTATTTAGTCGAGAAAGCGTACAGGTAGGCGTACGCGGCGACCGGAACGCGAGACAGTAGCCTCGTGCGTACCTCGTGATCCTGCATTCTCGTCCGCAGTCAAGTGCGGCGTGGTCTGCTGATCTGGACGTGAGACCGGAGTCTCATCCGTAGGTAGTGCAGATGGCGTGTGCTGCTGACTGGGACGTGAAAATGAGGTCTTCGATTTCGCTAGCGTGGGATCAGAAGGAAAAATAAGGATCCCGCTAGTGAGTTGGACGAGTCCAGCATTAAATCTCGATTTACCAGGTAGGGCACTGTCATTGACGTGCGCTGGTATGAGACGATCAATGCTGACTGTGTCCATCAACCTTGAAGGTCTTTTCGTGACGAGAGATCACGTGAAAAGATCCTTCGTAAGGTTGTTGAGTACCGAATCTACTAGTAGGAAAACTTGCGGACAGGTAAATAAATCTCAAGGGAGAGCGACCTGTCGATGTTATATTCGAGTTCACACCGGAGGCAGTATTCGCATCAACGCAGATAGTCGTTGGACGTAATCTGATATACATAAATCGCTGCTCCGTGGTGTGAAGAAATTCCCCAGGCAGATGCAATGTCGTGCCGTATATGAGTTCGAAGGCGGAACATTGGATTCTGCCGTTGCTGCTCCGTAATCGCCATGTCGTCTCCAACAAATGCCATCTTTCTGCGAACCGAGTGGAGAGGAGGCTTAAGGACTGTGAGAAAGACGAAGTAATACATATAGCAAGTAAACTGTCAAACTCACGCTTAGCGAAAACTAAGTTGTCCAGTGCCAGTCGGCGAGGTTTTGCCGTGACTGGGGGTCTGCAGGTGACGATGTGGCTTACCACATAAATAATCACCAGTTAAATCTCCTCGGTTTCGTTACTTTGGGGAATTTATCGAATATAACATGAAATAAATAGTAATGCAAAAAATATACATATTAATGATTCGGTACATATCTGTTTGTGCGTTGCAAACCATGGATTTGATATTCGACGAAGTATCGAATAACGCAGCCTACGTGAATTGAATAGCAATTCATAGTGCTGTAATGGATCGATACCGAGTATGGCTATGGGAACATCAGAAGGGATGAACGTCCATAGATACTGTCGTCGGATACTCAGGTTGATAGTTAGCTGTCGTGTACCGTAGGTAGGAATGACAGAGCCATTCGCAGTGCGTGGTCGAAGCATCGTAGCTTATGACTTACTGCTACCAAACGATACGACAGAAACTTGTGCACTTGTGGCCATCAAGTACCTAGCGTTAGTGCAAAAATTGAGCACGTAAAATAAACTAACAACCTGAAGTGACGGTGAGGAGACAGGTGAAAATGCCATGACCTGCACCTCGGAGTCTATTATTATAGCTATCTACCATTTCGAAAAGTTGTTGCAAGTATAAAATATATTAAAGACATTATTATTAGTATTGCAACATAAAAAAAATAGTGGTAGATGAATAAAAGACTCACCGTCATTGACTTCGTTTGAAGAAACGTCAGTCTCACCAATTTTAGTGAGCGAGTCCGGAAACCAGCTTGACTATGCCCACCACTAAATGTTCCATAAGGTTGCGTGATGAAAAAGGAGAACAAAATAAATCCATAGTTCAGTGGTTTATTAAAGGAGAACGTTGGCATGACAAAGGGAGCAGCAAATGGAGAAACATGGCGGCAACGCGCAGAGAAACGTTGCGCGCAAGAAGTAGTAGAAGTGTTTTTGGTACAGTTAAACACAACGAATACAATAATGTTCACATTTCAAAAATCGCATTTTCTTCGTAGAAGCGTTCCACTACAAGTGAATGACCAACTAACTGATCTCGTCCAATCGTTTGTGGTATTCTGTGGTGTTGATTGTGTAGTTAATACTGTGTGTATAAGCAAGTCGTTTATTACATAGAACATTCATTCTTCTGGCTAATGGTCCTTTCTTTGATTTCAAGCCATTTTACAGATTATGTCAATGATTCGGTCTCTAATGTAGACACATCATATGATAGCATTTCATCAAATGGTCTCCATTCTTTTCTTCCATTTTAATGATCGAAAGTTCTTATATTAGACGACAAAATTCTATGTTTGTCGATTAACTATCTGGACAACGTAAACATACTTAACAATTCACACACGCAAAATCCCTAGATCAATCAGAGTTAGACATTAACACCGTTGGATGCCGGCCCAGTGGTCCGATGGTAAGGCGTTCGCCTACAATGCCAAAGGTCCCGGGTTCGAATCCTGCGAGGAGCAGGAGTCGTGGATGCGCACTGCTGAGGAGTCCCATACTAGGACGAAACGGCCGTCCAGTGCTTCCAGGTTTCTAATGGTGGTCTAACAATGACGATCGATTAATGATTTCAAATGTGTAAAATTCACACAACGATTGATTGATTTATAAATTTGTAAACTACACAATGTAATACATGTCGTATATTTTTGTGGATCTCACACTGCTGATCTTCTGGTTGTAGTGTCCATTCCAGAAACATTTCGTATCAAGTTTCTAAATATCGTTTTG